CACCATGTCTGCTGGTTTGTTAATGGACTCTATTGGTGGAAAAGAGGCATTTAGTCAAGGCTCAATTGCGGTAAAAATGAATACCCTAAGCTGAACAATTCTCACACTGCAGGTGTCTCTTCAGGTAAGATTGTGTTCATGAGACAGTCCTTGAATCTTGAACTGAACGGGAAACTTGAACAGAGCTTTTACTTTTTAAGTACTTTACTTTTTAAAAGTTATTAGGGGGTTCATGTTTGCTATGATTGAGACTTGATACAGCCTATGGGCGTTAGGGATTGCATAGCTGTTTAAGCCGAGTGTCATCACAGTGACTCTTGGCGACTCTCCCGCCGAATGCGTACAACGCTACTGCGCAATGTTGGTTTCAGGAAGTGGAGAAAAAACGTGGAACTACCGAGAGCTTTTCGGCTTTAAATCCGTGTACAGGCGGAAGGCGGAACCAAGTTGTCCATAGTATATACAGTCGATAGTCGGACACTGTTGTCTGCAGTACACGGACCCACCAGAGTACAGTTTTGGCTCCTTTTTACCCTGTACACTGCAGACTTCATTCACATTCTCGTTGGCTCCATCACAAATGATTGCAAGAGGGATTGCAGAGAAGTGAACCTGAGCTTTGTGGGCTGGTGTCACCAGAAAAAAACAAGGAACTGGTGATAGATTTCCACAGGCACAGGGGCACCAATTCCCACACCAATGTACCATCAGGGAAAGGACACTGAGACTGTGAACAATACAAATACCTTGGTTTCTATTTTCCAGAAGATCTGGATATCTGAGATCAGGTCAGAGGTCATATGTGACTCCCCTTGGAGAGACGAAATCACGTTTGGTTTTGATTTCTTGTAAGAAACTCACATTAATCTGCAGATTCTTTCATGGTAGTCCCTCTAGATACTTCTTGTAGCTCAAAAATGTACAGCATGCAACACTACACAACACAGTTGAGAGCACATGACAATGACCCTCTGAGTCCTCAGTGTCTTTTGTATCTCTCCAATAATTTGTTTTCTCTCAGTGTTGAACTTTTCTCCCATCGCTCTTCTTTTATAATGGGTTCCTGAGGTCAGATTAAACCTGCTGGACGCCAATCTGAATTTTGGATATTGACTTTGCTAAAAACTGTAAAAAAGCTGCCTCAGTATCAAGTTATCAGACCCATTGTTATACTGCTGGCAGCATCTTGCCCAAGGACAACATGACATGTAGACTGAAGGATAAACCGACCTGCTTTCATTAAACAGATAGTTGACTCTATGCCTGAGCTTCAGCTCTGGATGGTTTTTCCTTTTCTGCTCTTATTTGTTCTTGAATTGAAACTCACCCACTGGACGGGGTTTATACACCTGAAGACAAATGATTGATATGCCAGGATCAGTTAAAGGTTATTATTTGGAAACATTTCTGGTAGATAATTGTGAAACTGATAATGTTTCTGCTTTTTTTCCCATTGCATTCCCTATACCAGGATGCAGAATCCAGCCAGTCTCCAATAAGCTGCATTGGAGACATACTGTTGTGAATATTTCATTTGATGCCTGTTTTTTTTTCAGCCCGGGAGACTCGTACACCTTAGACTGTCAAGATGCCACTGACTGTGAGTGTTGCTGTGCTCAAAAGGTCACTTGACCATCAAATTGAAGGCACTGCAGTTCGGGTGCAAGCCCACAGGATGAGACACTTGTGAGTTTGACATAAACTCATGTATAAATATGGAGCTTCAGGTTGTAAGTCCTATAAGCTTCAATCCTCTGACTAACTGTGGTCATTTCACTGCATGTGCAGAAACACAGACTAAAACTAGACACAGTCAAGAGATAATTTGGAACCAATTTTAATCATCCAGAAGTTCAGCCACTTCAATTACAGATATGCTCATTGATTGTAGGAGGTAAATTCACACTAAGAGGCTGCTTAAACTAAAGGTCAGAACACTGAATATATGTGCAATCTTGTAAATGTCCTTGGAACTATATCAGTGATTATGAGGACTGTGTGTAAAAAGGGACAAATCTGTGGCACTTTCACACTGATCACCACATAATAACTGTGTTTCATTGTGCTTTTATTGAGCCTGTTCTGTCGCTTGCTTTGGTCGATATATATATATATATACACATATATACAGTATGACTTGTACTGAGCAGAACAAGCTGTCAAATAGTCCACAACAGTCAACTTTACTGTCAGGTCAACAAGTGTTATTTTTGTGATCTGTAAAGTCTCGTTTTTGCAGCTAATAACACCGTGCTGTGCCAAACCGGTTTACCTTTTCACCTGGTTTTCATGAATTTGCAAACTGGTATGATGTGTGTGTGTGTGTGCTTTAAACTAGAGCGCATTTGGACAGTTTATATCAATAATAATAATACATTTGAATTATACAAAATTAAAGCAAAGACAGTCTGAATCAAAAGAAAGTACAGCATTTTGGACCCATGTCATCATATTTAGCTTGTAATATCAGGATCTGATATTTTCAAACCAGACATTTAACACATATCATGTTCTCAGGTCTTATGAGTGCACTTTAGTGGCTGCTCCCTATTTCCTTTACATAGCCTCCTTCTGCTTGCACTCATGTATCAATCTAAGATTACACCTTAGCACTTCACGGTGAGAAAGTGAAAGGAATAGATGAGAGGATGGAGGAGAAAAAGTTAACTAATTAGAAAGCCTTACTTTTAAAGAGACATTAGCACTAGGTGCCACGCTGCGCGGCTCTTACACCACAAAGAACTCTGAACCTCAGATTACCTCTTCTTTATAATGTGGATAAATGTGGCCGTATACTTCAGCCCTGAAAGTCAGACTTACATTACTGATTAGACCACAATAATTCACCTTCTTTGAGACTAAATTTTGTATACTGCTGAGGTCTGAGTTGTTTTAACAATGTGCTGTTCTCAGAAGCCCAGTCAATGATGCCAAACACACAACGACCACTCAGTGCCGCAGCTGGTGCATCAAATACTGACTGCCACTGGTTGTTATCTTATCTACTGGCCAGCTGGTGAAAATCAGATGAATCACCTCACCTCATGGCTTTAAAGATAAAAGATCTTCATTGATTGATCACCACAGTCTTTTCAGGCATGAGCTCAACAAAGAGGTCTAACACTTTAAGATTCTGGGGACACGAATATCTCATCGCTTTGTTGTAATGGGCAGTTTTACTCTAGGTTTAATGTGTTAATGAACAAAATCAAGTATCAATCTGTATGTCTTACAAAGGTCAGGAGTAACACTACGGGCTCTATTTTTGTGCCTCGCTGGAGACGTGCCGCAGGCACGGCGTAAGTCAGGTCCGCCGCGCCGACAAGGCGTTCCCAAGCACAATTTGGTATTTTGGTGAGCAGCGCAGCCCGGCGTAAGTATCCCCCCTCCCTAACTCAGCTCCTCCCAGCGGCGTAAGTCATAGCAAGAGAGGAGAAAGGGCGTGGAGTGGGTTTAACACAGCCAAGACCTGTTTTCACCAATCACATAAGCTCCTCTCCTTGCCTTTAAATCCGCCACAGGCGAGGCGTATCACTATTTTCATGAAGTAGTCAAAGAGATCAAGAGATGTCTGAAGACAGTAATGCCACACGATGGCGACAGAGGGCAGCTCCTCAGCAAGTGTCACTTTAAGCGCTGCATTGGGCGTCCTCGACACTCTCTCATATAAGCACAGATGGATTTGGTGTGTGTAATGTTGGACCCACTGGTAAGACAAACACCCTTTTCCACAAATAAAGACACTCACATAAAGTTGCTCATATTCAAACCTCACGTGACAAAGGTTGTGCGCACAGATCACAACATAAACTCCAAAAATGGCATTAAAATCGGAACCATCTGTGCGTAAATGACGCATCACGCTCCGTGGCCTGGCTCTTTCTTTCATAGATGTTGGCATATAAAATAAATTTGGCCCACAAAACTGAATATTATAATATCCGTATGTCGGCTTAAAGTAGATAACTTATCTGAGCACTGAAACAAATCATCTGTTCAGCCGCCGCAGCAGCAGGATGGAGAGAGGACATGGAGACGTGTCCAGGTCGAGCTGTGCGAGAAATAAGAGGAGGAGGAAGAAAGAAAAGGAGGGAGACAAATCACATATCTAGTTGACTTCATCCTGTGTGTTTATTTACTAGATATTTAATTTAATTTGATGCGGTTTCAGCTGTGTTGATTCGGTCAGGTTGTGTGTCCAAACGTGTGCCAAACGTGCTCATCAGATCAGATATAGATCAGAATATATCTATATAGATCTAAATGTATGTGCTGACTCAGATTAATAGTTGTTGATGATTATTTATTGCACTGAAATGTGCCTGACACTGTGGAAACCTGCCGGTGAGGCATCAGTGACGTATGCCGATACGCCGCCGGTCTACCAAAATACTACTAGACCAGCTGCGTTCCCCCATGCGCTGAAAGCTGACCAGGTTTGAATCGGCGAGCTTTCAGCGCACTTTACACGCTGGTGGCGAGCACGAAAATGTCACTGCGCCCGCTGATTCTGTCGACGCCACGCCATCACGCCCAGCTTGGCGGATCTCGGCTCGCCTCTGTGCGCCTCAGTCCACGAAAATACCAAACTGGCTGTACACCGGGCTGCGCCAGACGAAAATACAACTGCGCGGGGCTCGCCGCCCTCCGCCGCCTCACGGGCGTACACGAATATAGAGCCCTACATCTCAATTCTATTCCTATAAACAAACAACAAAGACTATAGTATATAGAAGACCTTAAAAATTCTGTTTTTTCCCTCCCTTTGAGCATAATCAGACGCTCCGTCCTCCTCTTGTCTTTTAGAGATATGTCCGCAGGCCATCTCTTTTTAACATATAAGCAGCAGGTAATGAAGCTCTCATTATTTGTGAATGCAGGCAGCCAGCAGGAGCTCTGCTCTGCCCTTGATAGCCAGTAGCTACCTAGTTTTGGCTTTGCACCATAGACTGTAAACAGACTTCTTAATGACATGCACCTGGTGAAAAATCAACCAAAAACAGTGGAGAAAAGGGAAATTTGTACAAATGGGACGACAGACGGTGATAGACCAGAGCGAGGAGCAAACTAAAAACTGATGGAAAACACAGAAGACAAGGCACAAGGCTAACTGGAGACAGGAGTCAATTATGCAACATGCCAAAGTGTACTTTTTCTTTCATTATGGTTGTCACAGTTACAGCCTGTCAGGCGTACGAAGGACATCCAAGGTCCCATGGGTGACAGGGTGGATTGGGTGCACTGACTGAAACACTATGTGTTTGCTGAGTAGACTACAGTCTGACACGCTGGAAGACTTTTGACTATTTTTCCACACAATAACCAACTTCTTTCTTTCACCAACTACCAGAGTCTACACTCTAAAATCTAGTAGAAATCCTGTCGAATCTCTCACAATCTAATACCACTTTTAGCAAATGACGGGATGGCTTCCAAGCATACTGACATAGATGTTTAGCTATCTGACAGATCCACTGTGGCCGCAATCCTCAACTCCCTTTCCTGTCACCATGATAGTGGTATGTTTTGTAGGACGTACATATCAACAAATTAGCTGTCTATTTCCAACATACGATTGTTGCCATGGCTGCATTTGCTGAGTGCCTGGCTGAAGTCGATTCCCCTGACATATCCAACAGTCTAGTTTAATATTTATGATTTCAGATCTGAGTGACCTTCACAGAAAAAAAAAAAAATTTAAAGTCTGTATAAAATGCTGATCATTTTGTGCCTCTTCTCTTTCAGCAGCTGAGTCAACCATGTGGAAAAAATCTCAGAGCAATGAAGCCATGAAATAGTATGCAATTTCTGGAACACTACAGTTATTAAAAAGGCCCAATCGCCCTTTTATCCCCGCTCTTTCAAATCCTGCTTCTCCTTTATTGTTGGATTTCAGCCATGCAGATGTGCAGGGCTCATTTTTTCCCCCAGCTCAGCTGCCTATTCCTTATTCTCTTCAGTCACCTAACATTGGCATATTTATGTTGGCCCCGTCTTCAAAGGTCAGACAATCCCTGAAGCACCTGTTATTTACAGCTGCAAGAGTCCATATTCACAACAGGCTTGTGTGAAGGTAAGGTAGGAGACAGATGGCTGCTGCGACCTCCTTACCTATCCATGTGACAGATCATCCATACTGATGAAAATATTTACACGGCAGAGGATTGACTCTGATGCCAGCAAGGTAAAATGTGCTGCAGCAGCTATGAAAAAGACGCTGCAATCAAGAGAAAACACGAGTCCTTATTTAAACTGTTATTCTACGACAAATAAAAATTGCTGCAGGAAGTAGAGTTTCAGCAAATACATGAATGATCCAAATCAAGTAAACACAACACCATTATCTTCTACAAGAAGGTCAAGTCAATCAAAATCCTCAATGAGTTCGTTAACGAGTCAGTTATTTGAACGGCTCTTTACAACACTGCGTAACACCGAGTTACACACCCCCTCAAGAGATGAATGTTGCCGACCGCTTGCTTCTCTAGTTTTACCAACTGAGGTCTCGCTACAAACAAGCGGGTGCTGGAGGAGAGTGGGTAAGTTGTGTTTAGTCTCTTTGCTAAAGAAATTAGGCAAAGCTAAAAAGATGTTTGGTGGCTAGCGCTGTGGCTAGGACCCTATATGTACTTTTGATGAAGTTAGGTGCTGTTCTGAGCATTATTTGTGGCTATAGAGTGGCGTTTTGGTTGAGGTTTGTTGATGGCTCCTCAGACTGCTGTGTATTGCTATCTTGTGGTCGTTACTAAAGTTGGTATAACTAGAGAAGCAAGCGGTTGGCAACATTCAACTCATCGTTTGCACGCCGTTTTCATGTGCAAACCGCCTATGCTGCCTTCACGTGTCACCTGTATGCCCCAAACGCCAGGCAAGGTAGTACGACTTTGTTTTAACATTTTTATCAAGTCTTAATTTTTATCAGTTATCTGTATCCTGCATAGTTTTTATTGTACCACAAAGTTTTTTGGTGAGGGAAAAATTCAAAACAGTAATCTCAATGTCAAAGCATGGGAATATGGCACCACATCATGGAATGTATACAATATATACAATGAAAACACAAGCCAAATGAAGTTATAATCAATATTTCGGAATAATTCCCACCTTTGTGTACCCTTGGCTGACTTCTGAAAAATAAATAAATCAAACAATAAGTCGGTCTTTTCAAACGGCTCTTTGACAGCAACGACTCCTCAAGATCTAGTATAAATCCCAGCTCTAATTCACGCTGCTTTCAGGACCACAAAAACAAAGCTCAGATAAAGCTTTATGGCGTATAGGACCAGGACCGAGGCATGAAGGCAGTCAGAGCTCACCTGCATGCAGCTGAACCCAGCCATTGTTTTGTTTATGAGGTTCTCTTTTGTTTAGGAAGAAGTGTTTCCTGTCATTATATGAAATTATTTCGGAAATTGTTTCAGTTAGAGCGGTGCTTGACATTATTGTTAATCTTCCATGCTCGGTGAGGGACAAACTACTGTAAGTGTTTGCTTGGGCATACAAAGGTAGCAACACAGTGGAAATTATTTTTACAGTTTTTCTTCTTTCAAAACAAAAGAAAAACAGCCTACAACAACAGAGAGGATAAACAAACAGAAGCTTGCGTAGGAAAAAAAACATGCTTTTCTGAACAACAGTATACAACTGTATGACCTGTTGTTCATTCCCTTTTCATAAAAATCCATACATGATCCAGTTCAGTAAAACAACCATGATAACTGTTAAAGGACTGTGATTGAGTTGGTATATCTGACACTTTTGTAATATTAAGAAAGACTCGACATCAAGATAGGACAAGATTAAACACTTTTAAGCAACATTTAGAGAGTTACAGTGGAGAAGAAGAAAAACTTCCTTTTGCAGAACGAGGCTCATCTCTGACAGTCATCTACTGCTACTGTGTTAGGATTAAATAAAAGAGGCGGAGGGAGATGCAGAAAAAAGAGGGATGGATGGAGACAAGGAAAATCCACAACGATTGTACATATAGATGTGTGGTTAAAGTGCTGAAAATAATGGAGTAAGTGTGCGACCAATCTTAGTTTAATTAGTGACGATTAAAGTCGGCATGTCTGTAGTAGTGGCATAGTGGCATCGTCCTTTAACATCTGCAACAAGATGCTGCAGATGTTCTATCAGTCTGTTGTGGCGAGCACAATCTTCTTTGCTGCGGTGTCCTGGGGCGCGTGCATCAAGGCAAAGGACGCCAACAGACTGAACAAACTCATCAGAAGGGCAGAGTCTGTTGTGGGCTCTAAACTTGTCACCCTGGAAGAGGTGGTGGAAGACAGGATGCTGGCAAAGCTGCTGGCAATCATGGACAATCCCTCCCACCCCCTCTACAACACACTGGACAGGTTGAAGAGCAGCTTCAGCAACAGACTCATTCAACCCCGCTGCTCTAAGGAAAGATACAGGAAGTCATTCCTACCTACTGCAATAAGACTCTTTAACTCATCCACCCCTGTTAGAGCCACAGTCACTTACATGGACTAGCCTGCCATTCCTACATTGTTGTTATAAATACGGGTACACATGCTTAGGTTGTAATTAAGTTATATTAAGCACATATAAGTATCATACAATATTTTTATCACTTTTGCACATTTCTCCTTTGCACATCTACACTTACAGATTCTTTCATCTAAGCACATACTATTTAAGTACTCATATTCATTCATTATCTTGTATAGTCTTGTATAGCCTTGTATAGTCTTGTATATTTTATCTATTTTTTGTATTTCTCTTGTATTGCTTGTATCGGCTACTATAACAACCGAATTTCCCCTCGGGGATTAATAAAGTTCTCTATCTATCTATCATCTATCTATCTATCTATAGTGTGAATAGATGCAACGACCATTTGACAAATCATCCAACCATGTGTCGATATGTTTGACCTCCTCAACCTGTGACCTTTACTCATAGCTTCCTGTTTCCCAGTTACTGTTATAGTGTTTGAAGCGGAGACGCTGCCATATTGGGTGTGTCTGCTTTTTTACCCTTTTACCAAATGTGAAAAAGTGAAAATGCAGTCTCAGCAGATGGCTGTCGTACATGAGTCTGGTTCTGTTAGAGGTTTCTGCCTGTTAAAGGAAGTTTTTCCTCTCCACTGTAACTTTATAAATACTGTAGTGTTTTACATAAGTGGTTGAAGATGGGGTGGGAGTGGGTCTGATCTTACAGGATGGGGCTCAACCTTATCTCATCTTTACATTGGGGGCTCTATTTTCGTCCTCGCCAGCGGCATGGCACAGGCGCGGCACAAGTCAGGTTCGCTGCGCCGATAAGGTGTACCCAACCACACTTTGGTATTTTGGTGAGCGGCGCAGCCCGGTGTAAGTACCCCCCCTCCCTTACTCAGCTCCTCCCAGCGGCGTAAGTAGCAGTAAGGGAGGGAATAAGGCGTGGGGTGGATTTAACACGGCTGAGTCCTGTTTTTACCAATCACATCAGCTCCTCCCCTCACCTTTAAATCCGCCACCAGCGAGGCGTATTACAATTTTCGTGAAGTAGTCCAAGAGACCAAGAGATGGCTGAAGACAGCAATGCCACACGATGGCGATAGAAGGCAGCCCCTCAACAAGGGCGTCCTCCACACTCTCTCATATAAGCACAGAGGGATTTGGTGTGTGTAAGGTTCGACCCATAGACTGTCCATATACTAAGGACAACTTGGTTCCGCCTACCGCCTGTATACGGATTTGAAGCCAAATAGCTCTCGGTATTTGTGGGATTTTTCTTCATTTCCTGAAACCAGTGGTGCGCATTCGGGCGCGCAGTCGCTGTGATGACACTCGGCTCAAACAGCGTATCCCCCGGGTGAGCTACGCAATCCCTGAACGCCCATAGGCTGTATCAGGTGTCAATCATAGCAAACATGAACACCCTAATAACTTTTAAAAACGGAGCTTCACAGAAAAAAGAGGACTTGAGCACAAACCAGTCTTACAGTAACTACATGTCAACATCACAAGCAGGGGGGAGAAACATTTATACTCTGTGTAATAAATTTCTAAAGTTTGTCCACAACTCCATAAGCTTTGCTGGCGGAGGCGGGATTTATGACCTATACTGCAGCCCACCAACAGAGGGTGCTGTTCTCGGGGTGGCTTCACCCAGCAAGGAGGCAGACTCTGTCCATTCTTTATACAGTGTAAGGTTGGACCCCCTGGTAAGACAAACACCCTTTTCCACAAGTAAAGACTCTCACATTAAGTTGCATATATTTAAACCCCACACGACAAAGGTGGGTTGTGTGCACAGATCACAACATGAACAAATTCCAACGACGGCATTAAAATCGGAACAACCTTTGCGTACAGGACGCATCGCGCTCCTTGGCCTGGCTCTATCATTATATCCATATGTGGGCCTAACGCGGATTGAATATTCACAGAATTTTAAGGATGTGAGAACATTAGATAATCAGAATTTTGAATGAATTTTTTTTTTTTTTTGTTCAAATTTTCGAAGTAAATAACTCATCTGATCGCTGAAATAAATAATCGGTTCAGCCTTGCCGCTGCAGCAGAAGCAGCAGGATGGAGACAGGACACAGAGACATGTCCGAGCCGAGCTGCGCAAGAAAGAAGAGGAAGAGAGAAAAAGGGGGGAGACGAATTAAATATCTTGTTAACTTCATCCATCATGTGTGACTGTTCACTGGATGTTTAATGTAATGCGGTTTCAGCTGTGATTGTGGTAACACCCTGAGCCTATATTCACTTAGGGAAGGTAGTTAGCAATCACAAAATAAAGCGGACACACTCAAATGAAACATGAGGGCAGGGAGTAAAGAAACATAACACCGAACACTGTGTTCAAGTGTCGAACAGCTAAACCTTCATTACATCAAAGTCCTCCATCCATACCAATGCAGGCTATCTGTGATACTAAAGCAGATTACTAGATGTGTTTGTGAGCTTGATTCACAACACAAGGGTTCTTCAGACCTTAAGAGAGGGAAGTTTGCCCCTTCAGTGGATTTACATCATTCCTGAAACATTCCTGAAATCAATCAAAATCTGGCCAATGCAATCACACACATCCTGCAGTCGGCCTTGCTGAGTGTACTTGTGTAATGTAATGATGCCAATCTGTGTTTCCACACGGAAAGCCATTGTCTCCAGAAGATAATACGAGGTGTAAAGAAAGACCCAGGACTTGGAGGAATAGGGGTGTATGGATCAGAAGGTCAGTCTTGACATTACTACCTGCGCCCCCCCTCCTTTTACCCCGCCCCCTCTCCAAGATGGCAGCACGTGTGGTGTCTCTGTTCAGTCTCTGCTCAGTGTTTGTCTGATTTTATAATACTTAGATAGTTTTTTCCATTGTGGACTATTCAGTGCTCTAGTTTACTTAAAGACTGCATCAAGGTTTGTGGATTTTGGCATTTTCCTTTGGGAAGCCACTCTGCTCTACTTTGTTTGACTACTCCATAGGCCACCTGTTAGCCTTTTAAACCTACTGAAGACTCTGGGAGCTGCTGCAGTGTGGCTAGATTGCAGCCAAGACCTGCAGCAGTACAAACAACAAGAAAAGCTCAGTAGCCTGAGGCCTACCTCATCCACCCTGCTCTGCAGGCTGAGGCATATTTCACCTATCCTGCCTTGCAGCTGAGTCAACTTCCATCATGGCGAGTATAATTCTCGCCCTCACGGTCAAAGGTTACTAGCAGGGTGCAGGACTTTGATATCAATCAAGGGTGCTGGATGCTTGAAATGAGCCAGGTTTCAAAACATGTAAACTTCAATTATCTTTCAAGCCTTCTTCTCCTGAAGGACTGCTTTATCCCATCAAATGACTCTTGGCCTATTACGATGAATGATGTCTCTAAGAAAATCAAGAAGCATTTTCATGAAACACATGTTGAAATGTATGATTATGCTTATGTTGTTGATATCAGGGAATGTTCAGCCTAACCCAGGCCCTGTGTCTGATGTGATATCACTACAAACCCCTGCTGAATTTTTGAATAGGTCTGGTATTGGTTTTGTACATATGAATGTGAGAAGTCTTTTGCCCAAAATTGATATGGTTAGAATTTGGGCCAAATCAACAAATGTTGACATGGCTGAGTAGATCCACACCTGATGGTCATATTTATTTGGATGGGTATAATAACTTTCGTGCTGATCGCCGTGCCAAAATCTCTATTAATTAAGACTTGTACTAAATACTGACAAGACTAAAATGATGTGCTTTTCAAAATCATTTAAATCAGATGACGTCTGTCAGATTGTTACTCTAAATGAGAAATTAGTTGAACGAGTTTCTGTCTGCAAATACCTGGGATTTCACTTGGAAGAAAATCTGTCCTTTAGGCACCATATTGAATGTCTTACAAAGAAACTCCGGGTGAAACTGGGTTTCTTCTATAGAAACAAGGGTTGTTTCTCCTTTAGTGCAAGAAAAAGGCTTATACATTATACAGGCAACGTTTTTATCCATACTTGATGATGGTGACTTCTTATATATGCATGCAAATCTCTCTTCTTTAAAAATAGATTCAGTGTATCATGCGGCATTAAGATTTGTAACTGGCTTAGATTTTCGTACTCATCACTGCAGCTTATATGAGTGTTGGTTGGTCCTCTCTGCAAAATCGTAGATTGGAACATTGGTATATCTTTCTTTACAAGGCCATTATAGGTGACTTGCCCTCTTACCTATGTTCCCTCTTAACTCCCAAAATCACCATCAGGAGTAATCTCCGGCCTGATGGACAGATCATGTACGATATTCCTCTGACAAGGACGGTTTTTGGCGAAAGCGCTTTCAAGGCTTTTGCACCCTCCTCCTGGTGTAATTTACAGGGTTATTTTAAATTGGATTATCTGCCAAGTATGGAACATTTTAAAACTAGAATGAAGGAGTTTTTGAGTACTGAATGCACATGTCCTCTTACTGAACGCTGATTTATTGTTGTGTTTTGCATACTGTAACTGTTTTGTGTTTCTGCGTGTGTTTTTATATTTTTTTTTATGTGGAACTTCTTGTGCTGCTATCCTGGCCAGGACTCCCTTGTAAAAGAGAATCTGAATCTCAGTGGGTTTATTTCCTGGTTAAATAAAGGTTACTAACTAACTACCTGCAGCACTTCAATCTGGCCTCTTCCTCCACTCTATCTAGTCCAGCTGTGACGGCAATTGAATTTGTGCGTTTAGCTGTCATGACAGTCCTTAAATAGTTTTTTTTAATAGAAAACTGCTGGAGCTGGCCTTGTAGACTTGGTGATTCTTATTTTTTCTACTTCCATAGGATCAGTCTGTACTTCAAGGATTCAGCAGGCTCAATTCCAAACCCTCATCTCTCACCTGGCTTTCTCCCTGCGCATAATGAAGGAGGTCTAGTTCAGCAGACATCAGCAGCGGTGTGGGCACTGTGTCTGATTGGCATGCTGAGCTGAAAGGTACAGCTTACTATTTGCCAGTTAGTCTATTCCCAGCTTGTACCTTGATGCATGAGTCTTCAGTAATAGGGAAAAGATTGAGATCACAAGAAGCCAAAATAGAGGGGTGGATTAGACCGGCCCTCGAGATGCACACATCAAGAGGTAGCAGAGTAAAGCTTATATTCTCTAACATGAAGAGCCAATTGTGGTCTTTTGGACTTTTGCCTCCTTGGTGCCTCCCTTTGACGGTCTTCCAGGCCTGTCCAATTGGGAGGAGACCCCAGGGTAAAGCTTGCTAGAGGAACGATATATCCCATTTAGCCTGAGGAGCCTTTGGGATCCCCTGGGTTAACTTGCTCGGCCGGCTGTCATCGTGATCCAACCTGTTGAGCTGGAGAAAATTGAAAAGACGAATGAACAGAGTGACCTGAAAGATAACGAAAAAGCTGGGCTGCATTTTTTTTCTTTCCATTAAAGTTGCTCATGCAGGGCATTTGTGCTTTAAAGGGATAAATGAATCTTCTACCCAACATGCAGGTGAGATCAGTTTTCATACATCACCTGTACTGCAGGAATCAACAGGTTCCCCCTCTGGCATCAAAGGCTGCATTTTAAAATTAGCCGTGAAAGAAAAACAAACTCAAAGAAAATTAATGAAGTTTTTAAACAAAGAAACAAGAACGTTTTCTACGATCCATCAAACAATATATGAGCAGGGTTCAGATTGTTCCTCTTTCGAAGATATACAACCTCAGCATAGACCTTCCTGATGGGAGTTCAGACTCTCTTAGGTGATCCAGATCATTTGGCCCAGCAAAAACCTGCTCTTTTGGCTTCTTAAATTTTCTTCATTGTGGTATTTACATACAAAAACTGTCTCTCTGGGCCCAGCCGTTTGAGATCAACACACCGATGGTTTCTCCAGCTCAGCTTCGTCAGTGCTGCATTCCTGCAATGAAGTCAAGTAGCTTCAGCTGTTCAAAGGAAAGTGTTTCCCATTAGACAGATCTCTGATAATATTACCCTTATTTTTCACAAAATACAAAAACACCATCAGCAGCAAGACTGAAAAATCTTCCTCACTGGATTTTTCAAGTGTGCGGTCTTACAGTTTTATGGAACTATCCAGCCAGTGTATCAGAGGATTGTGACGTTAAAACTTTGTCACAGCTGTCATTACATGTGTAGTCTCACACATATTTAAGATTAGTTTGAGATCTCAGAGTCGTCTTGTGAGGAACCAGATAAAAAAACATCTCTAATTGCTTTTAGGTTTTTAGAAATATTTAATTATTCCCAGTGTAAGCTGTTCTTTTTATGCAACACTAACTAAAAACACCAAAAAATAACTAAAGAAACGTCTTTTCTGGGCTGTATTTTATGTCGGATTGTACATGAAATTAAGCTTTAACAGAACCCGTATTTACTGTACATATCTTAGTATTAGTATTTTGCTTCATAGTGTATGGATATTTGATACAGACATAATATATATTTATAAGGGCAGTTACGTTTTATGTATATACATGTATGTTTGTGTGTGTGTGCATAGGTGCAGAATATATTTCTATAGATGTTTAAGTAGAATATTTATATTATGTCTATATTGATATTTCTGTTAGATAGTATGTGTATATGTATTTAGATATATGTATATATTAATATGTTTATATATTATAGATTTTGTTGTGTATATAAAGATAAACATATTTATACAGATTTTATTTTTTGTAGTATGCATATGTATAATATTTGCAAAATCCATGAGGAACAGAAATGAAGGGTAGGAATTCAAAAAGTATTTACTTCTTCCTACTCCTTTTCGATTGTGTGTAATTACTTTGTTTCTTTTTTTCTTTGTATGTAAATGGCAATTTTCTTTTTATTTTATTGCTCAGCATACATGTTTGAAATAAATTAATCCATTCATTCAGTCTCCCATGCTGAGCCACACATAGTGAAACACATGCTGACTGACAAATCATTGGTGTAGTCCTGCTGTTGGAGGCTTTATAACTCATCCTCCCTCCTACATTAATCGGTTTCCAACATGCAAAATCCTCCACATGAACATGA